TGTTGTTGCTGCTACCATCACAAGAAAAGTACTTGTCTGTCTTTTCCCAGCCAAACAAGCAAGCAATCTTGTCAGGCTCACGAAAGTCAGGGACGCAAACTTGCACTGTTCACGACGCAGGTCGCCCAGGTCGTCAAATGGGCACACCCCATAAAGTCTACTCGCCCTCGGTTGAGAATCCGAATGTTGGCTTAAACTATCCCCCGCAACGGCGCTAGATTAAGGTATGTTCTGGAACTACTCAACCATTCTTGCGCCCGTAAAATGAAGGCATGATGTCCGTGGTAGGGGCCAACGGGGTTGCCTGTTCATGCAGTAGGCGGTGTGAAGTCGTGGTGGACCGATAGGGAGTTCACTCTCTTCCATATTCGATAAGGGATTCGGTCGTCCCGTGGTCTAGGTATAGGTAGTACAGCACCCGATAAAATCGCCCAATACAAATCGATTCCCAGCGAGGTGTGATATCCATCATTTAGTATCTGCTAGGGATTGGAGAACGCGTATTCGTGAGTATGCTTCAGGGAGGCATGCACCACACAATATTTCTTCTGTGTAACCCTGGATCCGACCGCTTTAATTAGAGAGGCAAGGCCGTACGCTAGTGAGGATTGCTAGAGACGGCTACTACGAGGAATGAAAAAAATACACGCCAAACAACTTTCCTGTGTGACGCCAAATCAGAGCTCCTCAGATAGAGAAGTAACGTGTGAGCGTTGACAAATCGGATGACGGGGACAAGTTGCAGACTCTTTATACCTGATGGGATTGGTGGACAGGCTGTTGCTGTTGAAGCTGTGGCTCCACGGCGTGTGCGGTCTGGTTGTGCTGAGATCGACGAGATGCCTGTGCACCTTCCTGCTGCCACTCTTCAAGAGGTACCTGTTGCTGCTGTTGCTGCTGCTGCTGCTGTTGCTGCTGCTCGTACAACGGCGCCTTCATCGCACAAGACCCATCGGGAGAATCAGTTCGCATGCTCCCGCCACCCGACAGCACGAGGTCTTGAGCAGACACATCCGCCGACGCAACATCCGACAGGGATGACCGGTTCGTGTCTATCTCTTGGTCAGCCAAAGGAATGTTCGCAGCTTCTTCTTCGTTCTCATGGCTGGGGTTGCGGTTGCGCAAAGCGGGGGGAAGATAGCGGTCCTTTCGTGGTTCTTCGGGTGCATTGTCTAGAAATGACGCGATCGAACCAGGCCGCTGATCGCCGCTTGCCGAGAGGCCGAACCCCGACGTGCCCCAAGGGTCGCTCCACGGTTGAGATGACCCACCAGAGGTGGACGCCCCTGCTTGCCCCGGTCCCTGCTGCTGAGTGTGATGGTCACGCCCGTTCGCCGGGGTTTCCCATAGATCGCCTCCGGCCCCTCGCGGAAGCTGCGGCTCCCAGGAAGACTTCGAGATAACAGGATGCGCCTGCTGCTGTTGGGCAAACGAACCTCCAAAAGAAGTGGTGTCTTCGGACGGAATCCCCTCGGCAGGAGTCACTGAAGACACCTTGGCATCCAAACCCTCTGCGGGCTTTTCACTTGAGACGTCGGCACCAGCCCCAACCTCTACGCTGCCGCCACCACCCTCGAGCGGCTGCTCCTGTTGCTCCAACTTTTCTGAGGTAGAAGCAGTGGCCGACATGTCCGAGTCGCCTCGGTCATGCTTCGGGACTTTCACCCCCCACCCGTCGTCTGCAGATTCTTTCCAGGAGCTGTTCTGCGACGTGGGGGACGCCATGGTTGGAGGAGCCGCGCTACTATCGTCTATGTCAGCGTCCTCCCCCGCCGACCTGCCCCACCTGCCGCCGCCCATTTGGCCATCTTCCCTGGCCTTCCATCTCCTTGCACCAGCCCTCGGCTCCTCCTTCGGCTCTTTCCATCGGGTGTTAGTGGGATGTGGCGGAGGGGCTAGGGAACCAGCGGGCTCTTTCCATCGCCCGCTTTGGGTCCGTTCTATACCCGCCGAAGAATCCTTATCCATCGCATTTTGGCCTTGCTCCGGTGCCCCCCATGAGCCCCCAAAGCGAGATGTAGGCTCGCCACCTGCGTCATGATCTGAACGGGAAGATGATACTGACGTTTCGACGCGCTCATCAGCCTGTCCTTCCCGGCCAGGGCCGTCACCACGCACGTATGATCCAGATTGAGATGACGGGGAATCGGGCATCGGCGGAGCCTCTGGCGGGGCATCCATGGCTGGCTGGGGATTCGAGGGTGAGGCAGATCGCCACTTCGATAGAGTCTCCGCCGATTTGCCCCACGGATCGCCATGGGACTGGTCATTGGAGGGTTTTGATGCCGAATACGCCGAGCTTCTCGTGGGTTGCTGGCTGACCAGTGGTTGCTCCTGTTGAACGGCGGGCGCCGGAGTTGTGGCAGGCGTGGCAGCTTTGCGGGGTGGCGGGCCGTGTTGGCGGACATATGTTGTGGATGGCGTCGCACTGCTCCCTTTGCTCGTACTATCTTGGGTGGAGCTTGCCACGCCTACGTGGGCCCCGGAGCCAAAGATCGATTCCCTGCCCCTAGTGCTGTTCATGGCACTCCTGTTGGAGTTTTGCCGAAAACTCCTCCGGTCCTCCTTTTCCGGGAACGCATCTCGGCGTCCTCGTTCCGCCCTCTCAAACCCACGTCCGCCTTGCCCTGAATCTCGGCCTCTCTCCTTGTTCATTTCCCAAGTACCTCCCGTTCCTCGCCCAGCCCCACGCACTCTGGACCCACCCTCTTGGAACGGTCTCTCCGCCCATCGTGATTTCGTGCTGATTTCGTCCGCAAAGCTGGCCATGGGTCTACGGCGCTCTTCAGGCTTTGGGGCCGTTGCCACACGATTATGCACGGCATCTGCTATCGCAGCCTGGGCTGCGGCCGTAGCAACGCTGCCACCCCCCGCACTCCCCGTGGGTTTGAGCATCGCTGGTCGAACAAAGAGAGAAGAGCGCCAGAATTAGCATGTACCGGGTACGCAACAAAAAGCTACCAGGAAGGAAACAAGCGTGCATATCAAAACTACCACGAGGACGACCCAAATATGCAATGGACAAAACCTCCTTCGCTCTGCTCTTAAAATGGTATGGTACAAGGTTACCAGAACAGTTGCAACGCGGCAAGTGCCCTTCCTTCCGGTACGATTTAAGCCAGGTTTGTCTGCGTACAGCATCGAAGAGCCAGCGTCACGCAGCTTCATGAGTCCAACAAGACGAACACTCACTTACCTCTTGGTCGCAGTGATGGCCCTTGGTCCTTGGCGGGTTCAGATTTCGGCTTGCGAAGAGGGGCCACCTTGCTTGAGGCCTTGGTGACGGCATCTAGTTTCTCCGCCTGTTCCAAGCCTGCTCGGAGGTCTGGAAAATGTCGGGTGAAAACGTCGTCTCCGCGTTGCCTACCGCTCCCATCCCTTCTCCCCTTACCATTTCCGCTTGCAACACTTTGGCCTGCAGCGCTATTCGCTGATGCCGAGGAGACAACGGCGGAACCCCAACCCCCCCCGGAACCAGACCGATTGATGGCGGCGGTTCCGGCGTTCTCCCCTTGGATTTCTTGACGAAGGCTCGGCGTGTTAATCGGGACTGGAGCCACGACCCCTGTCTTGGCGCCAGCTGGCAAGGCGTCCTTAGTCCCCACCATCATATATCGCTTCGTCTTGTCGCCTGTGAGGCCAAATCGTCCGTTCGAGCGTGCAAAAAGCAGTAGGAGGATCGCGTATCAAGACAGCCACAACAATTCAATATCCGATGGTCTCACCACAATTTGTACAAAATGCATCCCTTGCTAGTGCTACATACATGCCCAGGATATCGGAATCACCACATTGCCCGACCGTCACGCGTTGAGAAGCCAGATGGTGGTACATACCACAGACCAGCATCAGATGTTGTGTGCTGGCTGAGGGTGCACTCCGCGTTTCAGTGTCTTGCTGTGAGACGCAACTGGCGAACACACAGAGCGCAGGGATCACCAGGGTCCGGTGTGCCTTGACGTTGCTTGTGCATAATTCTGTGCGTTATTGCCAACGGGCGCTACAGCACCCTTTTTACACCAAACCACAACGCGCGCCTGCGATATAATTTGTTGGGTCAGTGCTGTCATGTGTGTTTACATGTAAGGGCACCCCCCCCCTCCCCCCCTCCCTCCCCCCCCGCCCTCTCTCGCAAGTTCAACAGAGCTACAAAGACCTGCAACATGTTTTATGTTTTTCAAAGCTCCGCCACCCCCACATCTTGAACAACGAGGTGAGGGAGAAGTGTGCTGGTCATGTACACATCATGGAATACAGCAGCTAGTGATTAACGTGTTGCGACCTTGGATCAGCCTGTAACCGTTTTGATTCGTCCCAGAACTCAGCGACATCCACGACCGACAGCTTTCGATTAGTTCCCACCAAAAAAACACCTGCTTTGATATGAACTAAACGATAGTGTTCATCATCGGTCGGGCTGCTTTGATGCCTGTATTGCACCTATCGTTGCCAGCCGCAACATTCGTACTACAACCGCTGTGTTATCACGGGCCACTTGAGCACCCCCAGAGTAACGGCGTTAAACGAGTGAGTTGCAATGCTTCCCGAGTACATATGTATGCTTTCTTGAGACATGCAATCAATGCAGCGGATATCACAACATACCGTGCGCTGCGTCATTTGTAGGGGGTCACAAAGCGCAGTCTACAAGAAACGTGTTGACCAACTCACCCTCACCGTGCACAAACCGCAGCCTGGTTGCACGGCCTGCTGTGTGTGCTCTGTGGACGGTGGACATCACAGGAATGCTGTGGATGTGGGGAGAGATGAAAAACGCAGGGCAACCCGATGCAATCAACTCAATTCAAGGGTGTACACACACGCATGTCTCACCTGCCCACCCTCCTCTTCCACCGCGGGCCGCCATCGCGTTCCTTGTCCGAACAACACTGGCCGGGTATAGTCCTGCCTCGCTCTCCTCAGAGGTGTCAGGCACTCTCTTTTTTTTTCGCGTTGACCCCCCCTGCCGCTTTCTATTGCGCGCTGTGTGCGTGCCCCCCTTTTGATTACCGATTTTGAGGGTTCTCTCTTGGCTCGTACTTCTGCTGTGTAGCCCCTTTTGGGTACGAGCTTACTGCTTGACACTGACTGGTGCTGTCGAGGGAGAGAAGGGTTCTGGAAGGGAAGGAGGAAGCTGGTGACCTCCTACCACATCCACGGCTACAAAGCAGCAGTATGGAGCTGTCGGTGGTGAGCATGCTGCCTGTTGACGGTTTCCACCGAATGGAGATGCTGTGATGATGGCAGTTCTGCGTGATGCGTGATAGGCGTGGTGCTATTAAATAGTAAAACATGGCTTGCAGTCGACCCCGCTTTAAGGACGCACATGGTTTTTCTCGAAAAAAAACGTCCTTAAAGCGGGGTTGCGTCCTTTCCATTCAGGGGACGATAGCTCACCATCCCCGGGGCCAATGGAGGTATGCTATACCTATCGCCCCGGTGGTCTAGTGGTATCCTCGTAATCCGCTGGTTGCAGAGGTCGTGAGTTCGAATCCCCTTGGGGTGGAAACATTACGAAATTTGCGGGTGAAAGCGAAATGTGCCTAAAAAAGCTCTCGTGAGTCCCAAACTTCGACGTTAGCACCGTTGACGAGGGAAANTACCTATCGCCCCGGTGGTCTAGTGGTATCCTCGTAATCCGCTGGTTGCAGAGGTCGTGAGTTCGAATCCCCTTGGGGTGGAAACATTACGAAATTTGCGGGTGAAAGCGAAATGTGCCTAAAAAAGCTCTCGTGAGTCCCAAACTTCGACGTTAGCACCGTTGACGAGGGAAAGGGACGGGCTGGACCCTTCTCGCGATAATAATAAGAATTCAGCACGCACCGCAGGAGGAAGGCGGGGCATGAAAAGAAATAAAAATAAGAAAAAAAGCCCTGGTGTTAATTAACCCCCTCCTGTGTGACCCTGGATGGTTGTAGTTGTACGAAAAAATACACTGAAAAGTGTAGTACACGTCTCACCACGAAAAATAGGGGGACCGTCGCCATTATAATAAATAGGAAGAAATCACTCATATCTCAAACTACGCGTCTTTTGCTAAGGGGGTGGTACGAAAAGTCAGCATCGCCGAGACGACTGGCAACCGTTTGTTGACGTCGAACATATTTACAATACCATACTTGAAATGAGATGTACTACAGCAGTCAGGGACGTGTTGAAAACAACTACAGTTCACCAGTTTGTACTTGGCCAACTAATGTACTACTGCATAGCCGGCAGCGGGGAAGGAGGAGGAAAGTCCAAGTAGCATATATTTATCTCAATTCTTGTGAAGCAAAAAAAAACGAGCGTATTTCAGCGTCGCGCCGCGCAACACCAGTACATATCACTGTCCCGGCGGAGACCAAAAGCTACCCTGATGGCTTTTCCTTCCACATATCGCGAAGAGTCCCCTGAACCTCCTCCCGCGGCTTGGCTCTACGGCTCTGTTGAGTTTCATGAGTAAACGAATGAACGGTCTTCGAAAGAAGTTACTGCGTCTCACGGTACTCGCCACCCCTTCCCTTCGCGTACAAATACAGATAGCGTCCGCAGTTAAGAAAAATTCCTGTGAAAAAGGCTCACCTTTGTACGGAAACGAAAAATAAGAAAAAAGGGCCAAGTAACATAGCTCGATCTCGACCACAACGTTAGAAACGCCCCAATAAGAAACGTGATGGTGCGATGCCCCCATGACATCAGAAATCTGCGGCGCTCCCAACCCCCTCCCAAGCTGAGCAGAAGTGCATTTTTTTTTGTGTAGGGGGCAGCGTCCCCCCCCCCCGCGCCCCTGCTGTTCACAGTGATTGCTGTACTGTAGTACTGTCACACATCGCGGACAACCATATGCTCTCCGCTGTTGTACGGGTTTGATGGCACTCCCCACCACCTCTCTTGAGGGCTTGGTGATGTGGATTGTCCTCAGAGATCAGAAGACAGAACAAAGAAAATACGAAATACTTGTTGTAGCCTAAGGAATAAGAGAATCGGGAGGATGCGACAGTCCACAGGAAGAAGAAATGCCATTTACGAAATGGACAATTTGAGCCGGTACTTCGACCCAAAAGAAGGGATTGGTGAGGCTCGAACCGATTTTGACGTTTCTCAACTGCGGGCGCTATCTGTAGGATCGAACGTCCTCCAAGCGAGAGATAACCTCGCCCTCGGTGAGGGACGAGGTTAGACTATGCACGACTCTTTTTTTGGCGGCATCAGATGGACCGCCGGTAGATGGGAGAAATCTATCCATACCAACACCCAGTTGCAGCTGCAGCGGCAGACCGCTCGCTACTTCTGCTGTCTTAAGCGTCGCTACTTCTGCACTCACTGTGGTGCGTGGTTCGTGCAAAGAGCGGCCCGCACGCCCGCAGGACACATAAAAAGGGGGGTATGCGGCAGAAAAAATGGGGGTACCCCATCATCGTATATTCTGCCGGGGCCCCGGTGCTCAGCTAAACAAGTTTCCTTACAGCGGGGAGTTTACTTAACTCGAGCGTCCTTAAGGCGGGGTCGAGTGCACAAGTGGAGTGGAGACTTACCCCTGATTCTGAGATGGTTCACCTAATACACGTCGAATTGGAGCCCAAGTAGCACGTTTGATAAAATCTTTCTTAAAAGCGGACTGCGGCAAGTTCGAGTCGTCTTATATCTTTTATCAACATCCGAAGTAAGTCCGCAGCTGCTTTTCCCAGCAGCAATTCTTGATTAATACCGACCGCGCTGCAGCAGCAACTGGCTGACTAACGGAAAGTCGCTCTCTCCACCTCCCTCTTGTGATCGGCTGGTGATGATTGTCTACTCTCCTTCTGCTGGTTACCAATACGCGCCTTGTTTGTACTCATGATATCACAAATCCCTCCTCCGTAACGCGCCTGCATTCAACATGTTTGCCCCTCTGCGCCGTGATCCTGCTGGCCGGGGTGGTAACCTAGCCTGACAAACTCCAAACGTTAAAAGGTGAGGCGGGCATCTGTGTGTTCACCACTTGATCAAGATTGGCACAACCTGCGAATGCGGGAGCTGTGCGAGCAACGTTTGGCCGTCACACCTACCCCTGCACAGCAGTGAAACATGACATTCTGCCATTTCTTTCTCACGGCAAAAAGCGCCTTTGTTCGAGCGCATTTTTCTTGTTTTTGTTTTCACGTCAAAACCGTTCCGATCACTCGACCCAGTACCATCATCTGCTGATCAAACACTTGACTGGTCGATTCCCGTGGTCACAGGCTAACGTACGCTATAAAAAGGCATCCTCAAGTAAAATTGACCCGAAGGGTTCGCAAGCTCTCCTTGTGGAGTTCGAAATCGCCTCCATTTTAACGTTCGCGATCTACCAGTACACTCTTTGCTCATAGCACAGAGGGCAAAACATTCACACGTGGGGCGACGGTGGGCAAGAAACTCACCATGCATGGAGAGTAGGAATATATTGTCATTTGGAACCTTAGTGGGGTGTGTGACACAGGCCCAGCCTCAACCCCAACATACGAACACGGTGGAATAGGCACTGTTGCACGAATGACATTGTCGCCGACGTAGACACTTCGTTCAATCTCCTCATTTCTCTTCCGCCGGTTTTGGAATCGCGAATCGCAAAGACTATCGTCTGACGATCGAGTATAAGCACTTGAAGCAGAATGCGCCAGGCGGAGTGTTCGTTATCCCGAGCGTCAACCACCTCCGCGTCTGGTACGGAGTGATTTTCGTGCGCCGAGGTCACTATGCCAATGGGGTCTTCAAGTTCAGGTGTGCGGCACCACGAGAACGTTACAACTAGGCCCTGTTCTTTGTGCAGCCGAGGAAGGGGCTTATATTTCGATATCAAGATCATTTTGTTTTTGGCAAAAATTGTTTTTTGGACAGTATACTAGCCCCGCTGTTGAAATAGACGTGCGGTAGAGCAAACAATAGGAACCAAGGAGACTTAATACATGTACCCCACTTAGCATCGCCTCCCCGACTCTGTTTTCTTGGCTGTGCTACACACCACCAGGGTGGAGTTACCTCCGGATTACAATGATGCCGGCACGTGGCCAATCATTCGCTTCACGAGCACGGTGTTCAACCCGATGGTGTCACCGATAACTGGAGAGCTAGACCTCAGGTCTGTGTTTCCAGAGTGGTTACCCGGGAAACACTACATGGTGACGGCCCTCACGTACCTGAAGAAGGTTTTTTACATGAAGGACTTCTCCTTCCCTCGACCAGCCAACCCAGAGGCACAATCACTGTTCCAGGTGACCCATGTTGACTCAACCCTCTTTTGGAGGCTCTCGTGATCGGCCTCGCGCTTGCTCTACATATCACGCCCGCTACATCCTGTTGAACACACACGAGAGAGTTGGCCATCTCCTCCTTTCTTGTGCGTCGTTGTCGGCCTTTTATTTGTTTTTGCGGGTATCGTTTGCTTAGATACTATGTGAAAACTTGTGGAGCACGTGCTTCTATCGACCCTCTGGTGTTGTGCTAATCCTACAGGACGACAAGCGGGGATTCCTCGAAAGAGTCGAAGCGTGCGTGCGCGAGAGTCAGGAGACTGTGTACGAGAACGAGGAAGGGTCCAGCTTGCGCTTCACGGAGCCCAAACCCGCACATGTAGGAGGAGTTGTTACACATCTCGGTTGACGAGGGGAGGGCGGGGGGGTGGTTGCTCTGTCGCCCACTTCAAACGTGGACTATATAGATCACATAGAGGAAACGCCATGTATAAAACGCCGCGGTTGCACTCCTTTCAACGTACCTCAACGGAAACGTTTGTGTCATAGGTGAGTGAAACACCATCCAAGTTGATTTCCAAGAATACAGAACGTATCTTACACGCACATTCGACAACCTATCTTACACGCACATTCGACAACCTCTGATACTCCGCTGCTGGCCGTCTGGTGGAGTCAGGTGGCAATCCAAAAGCTGACGATTCACTACTCTCGTGTGCACAGGCCGCCTCTTGAACACATCGTGCGGAGACCTGCTCATGCGCTAACAAGTTGAGTTTGTTGTGCATTACACTGCATGTTGCACAGGACAAGCTCCGGGAAAAGATTTTGGGTACAGATCAGGCAGGGACGTCGTCCCTGTCGCCTACAGGAACACGAGAGCTGAAAGTCAGCACGGCAGCAACAACTGGTGCTGGAGAAAGGTCAACCGAGGTTGACAGAGCGCAAGAACATTCTAGTCGATGACGTGGGTCGATCTAGTACGCTGCAACGGGGAACTGCGATGGCGACCGTAGTAGAAAGTGTCCGAGAGGATCCGATTCCCAGGGTATCCGTCGATTGACTTTTCCCAGAATCGGTACACCTTGTCACAAGCGGGTATCGTAGCGTCTTGGGCTGTTAATAGTTAGACAGACACGTTGTTTGTTGATCATGTGGCCGCCACCTGCACGTGCGGTGTTCGTGTATGGCTGTTTGTAGAGTGGTGGTATTCCATCACGTTTTTAGCCTCAAAGCGAGGTTGTTAACTTCCATGTCTGCAGCAATAACAGCAAGTAGGTTTGTCCTTTGTTACAATCAGATTGCGTGTCTGTGTTTTCTACTACTGCCGTAGATCACTGCTGCTTGAAGACCGGCTTGAAGAACGATTAGTTCTGACCACTTTCGAAATCACGGTCGACCAGGGATTGGAACGGAACCCCATTTCGTTGCGAAAAAAATGTGTGAATTCATCTCTGTCCGTGGTGTGGCCCCACCTGAAATTACTTCGTACACGTAAGCACACGGTGTACAAGACTGGCACCTGGAAGAACGGGACGAAGACGCATACGCCAGAAGTACAGAGCGTAGACAAAGCACATGCGTCGACGTAAAATATTCGCCGTCCTGACAGGAGGAGAGACAACGGACCCAAGAACAGCCAAAAAACGGCCTCGTTTTTTTTTCTGTTCCGTAGACTGATGTACGTATGCAATGTATTTTCATGTCGTGCAGTTGAAAATTCTCCAGTAATTCCGATCAAGTACTGTACATACTTCGTCGAACACACCAACACTGGGCAATCAGTGGGTCAGGTCGAAGCGATGAACCTTTACGTGTTGTAACCTTAGGTAGATGTGGCCGCAAACTCCGATCTGCGATCACAATAGTCACCACAATATAGTCCATCGCGGGGGGGGGGGCGGCTGCTAGTTGCGTGCCTCCCGTGTTTCCGCTCGTCTGCAAATACTGAACGGCGTCATACGATCACAACATATATCCAAATACAACGCGGTGTGGTGTGCAACAAGCTTCACCATGGCGATGCGAAGGCTCGTGAAAACTACAGGTAGGTGTGCGTAGTGTGCTTTTAAGAAATTGCCACAGGTACCATCCTGCGTGCTATGCATACTGTCTTGCAAGATCAAGTGTCAACCAACGCACACATCGCCCATATGGGACTGCTTCAAACCTGTTCATGCTTCGCTGACAGCTCTTCCGGCTGCGACATTGATCTTCGGGGCAACCGCATTTCGGCCAATGCATACAGCATTTCCTCGCTGTTCTGGGCTCGGTTCCAACACTACGCCGCTACCAACGGTAAAGATGGCGAAGATGGCGCAAATGGCCGGGCGACCGGACGTGAGTTGCAGCGTTCATAGATCGGTTTGTCTCCCGCACGCATGTAGACTAGATAGACTAATCCTGTACAGAATTGTAGCAGTCACGACCCACCCTGGGCTGCTCTCTACCTTGTAGATACTTAAGCGCGCGGCACCGTCTTGTGTTTCCTACAGTAGGAGACTTCTCCAAATACCTGTGGAACATCGCGAGGCGTCGAGTACGTACAAGCGCAGGGTTAGATCTACGAAATCTACGACTCTTGGGTCTCTGCTCCCCCCCCCTCTCACTCTCGTTCTCTCTTTCTTTCTCTGTCTCTTTCTCTGTGTCTCTCTCTCTCTCTCTCTCTCTCTCTCTCTCTCTCTCTCTCTCTCTCTCTCTCTC